ATTCTGACTAGAAGCTTGTAGGACATGACTGTAAACACACCGCGCAAAGAGACACCCTTTTTCAAGTCGGTTGGATAAACTCCTGCCGGCTGTGTCAGAGGCGCTCTGACACAGACTGTCCCAACTTCAGTCAGGACTTCCACCGACCGAAAAACTTGTTGGCCTTTCTCTTTGCTGGGCCTGCTACAAGCTTAGTTTCCCTCTTCTTGTGCTCCTTTATCTCATTGAAAAGTTGTTCGCTTTCCTTTAGCAGCTCATCCATGACAAACCACTGTAAACTTTTCTCATCCACTATCTCTCTTCTCTGCACGTCGAATGCACTGTAGTCCTCATTGGTCAGCGCGTCAGCCAGCTCATTGCCATCACGCCTCACCCACGTGAGGCTTGCATAGGCATCAAGCCGCCTAAGTGTCTCAGCCACTTCAATGACCAACAGGGTGACTGGGTATTTCGTGGAAAGATCCTTGCGGAGGATGAAGGCGTTTCCCCGATTGTCTGTGAAAGCCTCTGCATGCACCACAGCTGAATCGCCAGCACCCCTCAGCCACAACTTCAATGCAATCAGGGTGGCAAGCAATTCTAATGCAGCAATGACTCTCTTAGGGTTCCTCCCCCTATAGAACAACCTAAAGGGCAAGCTCTTCTGTGACCTGCAAAGAAAACCATCTGCACTGTTTGCTGTCAACGTCCTCCTCCAGCCAACCTCCAACCCAGGCCGCGTCTTCTGTCGCCTTGGCATCAGTCCAAATCCTCAAGGAGCTGTCCCCCCGCATTGGCGGTGGCTTGACCACCTCCATCCTGCCACCAGACCTCAACCTGTGTGAAATCCAGTCCAAGATGAGCTGCACTGACCATGGTATTGTCATAGCCCCCCTGTTTGATTGTATTGCTGACGACCAGGCGTAGAGCGGCCCAAGCAGCGGTCGTTCCCAAGGCAAAGCCAGCGCAGAAAAGCCCAGCCTCCCGAGCCCGGCCGCAAATTCACGGCATCCGACCTCCTTTCTTGCCCTCAGAAAGCAATCCAGCTGATGACCCAAGATGCCTTTCGAGCTGAAAGTCCCATGGAAAAGTTTCTGTAGTCGGTGGTAGTCCTATCCTCGCCCATTTGAAGGGGGCACCAAGCGCTGCCATGAGAGCAAAGGCCAGGACTCCTCCAATCCGCCCTTCCCGGCCCATGGTCAAGACCTCCAAATCATCCGCGTAGAGCAGCATGTCATTGGGGAAACCATCCCCGAGCACCCAGTAAACAATTCTCATCAGGGCGGCACTCAGACGTGCCTGGGAAGCTCTCTCAACACGCCCAGTGGGAGCCCGGTCTTTGCCTGCTCCAAGAAACCCCAATCAGGGCCGCCAGCCTTCTCCAGATCCCTTTCATGAGGTCCAAAAAGAATGGTTGCCTCCTGAGGTGCAATGTCCAACTTCTCAGCCAGTACTTGCCTGATCCTCTGCAAAATTGACTCCTCTCTCACCAGCTTGAAGTTGTCTCCCCCTTTTGCCATGCGGTAGGCCTCCTTCTCCACCTCAGAAACACTACCAAGCACTCGGACAGCTTCTAAAAGGAGATGGTGCCTCACACTTCGCCATGCATCCCCCTCCAACACCTTCCTCATTCCAGGAGACCACCTCCCAGGTGATGCCAGCCCTCCTCCATCATGAAAGGGGGCCTCCAACCCCTTCCACCGGCACGACCTCGGTGGACCTTCACCACCAGGAACAGACGGTCTCATGCATTCTACCAACGCCTTCTCCGCCACCTTCTCGGGCGCTGCCTTCTGCCGTTTTTCCTCCTGTAAGGGTGCATCTTGACCCTTCCTCTTCAAAGAAACCTCACCCCCCCCATTACACTCTTGCACAAAGGAGGTGAGGATTGCTTCAGCTGTCCATTGGCACAGCTGGGAGGGCCACGCGGCCGAGTGTGCTGTCTTGAAGATGCCATTGGATTTGCCGATGAGGGATGCTTTGCACGTTTGCCTGGGAAGAGGTCCCAAGTACCAACCTTGACCATCAAAGTGTGGCTCACCAGGATACATCGCAGGATGAAGAGGTGCAAATATCCTCAGGTGAATCTGTACCGAATTCAGATTGTGCAAAAACCACTGTCTGTACTCCTGGAAGCTCCAAAAGTTGTTGAAACTGCTGAAACTGCCACATCGATGCCGGCCGATGCCCTGGAACCCGCTCATAGTTTGTGCGCCCAAGGTCCTCAGGCTGCTCCATGAGGCCGATTCGCCTCTTGCATGCAAACTGCCGCTTCAATGCCTCGAATGAGAACTCTGCCAGGACTGTACCAAATTCAGCTTTGTGAAACCGATCGCCTCTGTTCCAAGGAGACCCCCTTGGGTACGCAGAGCTCCTCAGTGGGAAAGGACCCAAATCATTAGCCCACACTGCTCTCGAAAAGGTCGAACAGGGTGGCGTCACAATGACTGCATAGAAGATACCTTTGGTAATCAACTGCAGCCACTTTTTCTGTACTGAAGGTATGGTAAAATCTGACTTGCGATCTGACTGAATGTCCAGTTCTGTGATCTCCACATGGACCCCTTGCTGCGATGCAAGCCTTCGGAGAAATCCTGCAACTGAATTGCGCCTCTGCCTGCCAGAGAAAACATAAAGAACTCTCAAAACAGCTCACTTTGACCCATCTGTGTCAGGTGCTGTTGCTTCTTTACGATTCTTTGGCTTGCGCTCGTAGAGTGGGTGTTTGTCGCTATAGCAAATACCGCACACATGCCGATACTTGCATTTGCTCATCTTGCACTTTTCTCCTGGCGTGTTGTAGCGGAAGCAGATCATGTCCCCCTCTGGCGTGTGTGTTGCACAATGTCCACTTCCCCTTCCTTTGCCTTTCTTCCCCTTACCCTTCTCCTTGCCTTTGCCGCCCTTCTCAGCTGCGGGCCACTTTGCTGGTGGCTGTTCCCTCCATGGGGGCAGCGGCCTCTTCGCGTAGAGCGCCAGCGGTGTAGTGAAGTTCCTCTCCTTGATGGTTGCACCCTTCCAGGCTGTTTTCAATGCGACTGTAAGTGGCTTCCCCTCTGTATTCGTGATCTTCACGGCCTGCTTCCGAACTGCACATTCATATGCAAGGATCAACTTCCAGGGTGGTGAAGCAAGGTCTGGCCCTCAGCATCTTTAGCATTCAAGCCATAGACGTAATCGCCCAGGAGGTAGTCTTTGTACTGCTCGACTGTCTCCTCCCATGCACCCTGCAGCTCATGCCGGTTGGAATGCTTCAGGGAAATCATAACCATTGCGTTCTTCCAGCTTGTCAAGCGCCGCCTGAGTTCTTCGGCGTTCGTCGGTTCGGGCACTTTCGTTGAGCCCTTGCGCATGGCCAAACGGCCCTTGGAGTCCCAAATAGGCACCACAACATCAGGCTCAATTTCTTCTTTTGACACAACTTCTGTAAGCTCCTCAGCCCTGTATTCACCGTTTTCGATCTCGGCCAATTTCTTTTCGACATATTCTTTCGAGGGGTAGATCTTGTCGTCCAAATGGCCGTAGCGTTGCTCTAGAGCTGAACGCATTGCCGCCCATTCCCCTGCTACCACCGGCCTTGACCACTGCAATGTGTCGCACTTGGCGTCGACCTCTGCTGCTCTCTGACTCCTGGTCTTGGCATTGTTGTATGCGCAAGTGATCGCTGCCACTTGCACCCTTTCGTCCAGAGTCCTGCTTGAGTCGAGCTCCCAAAGGTCCTTGAGCACCGCTGCAAGATCCTCTCTGTCCTTTGCAAAGTTCGACAACTTCTCAAGTGTCGTGACTCCATGGTGGTAGAAGAGTTTCTGGTTGTCCAAACCCCGCGGACCCCGCCCCTCCTGATTGAACCGATCAGGATCACAGCGTGCGACACTGCTCATGACACTGCGGTGCCAGTAGTGCATGCTATGCACATATGCTATGTGACACAGAATTCCGTCTGTCGAAGGTGCGACCCCGCCTCTTCCTCCACTGGTCCCACCAATGCACTTGCGGCGCTGCGACCCCCAGCCTGAGCGGCTGAGGGTTGCTGTTACCTCCTACCAGTGGCGCTCTCTGGGTGTGTGACATGCGCTGCTGTCCTCATTACCCGCCCCTGGGTGCGACCCAGGGGATACTAGCCTCCCCTGACCAACCCTTCCGATGCCCACCAGCAACTCCTTTTCAGTCGCTAAGGCTGAGTTCGTCCTCCGAATCACTTGTGGACTCGCTCAATTGGTCATCACCTCCACTCCAACACAGCTTGCATCGAAGTGTATATTCCTCTGGCTGTGGGAGGTGTTTATGGATCTCAGACCTCAAAAAGACCCTCTTCTTGGCCATCCAGCAACGCTTCTCGCCTAGCCGATGAAGTGTGCCCCTTCCGGCCCGCCTGTACACGACTACATAGTTCCCTTCCCTCTCTTCGTCGAGGGCTTCATTCATCTTTCTCCTCTTTGGGTCGCGCTGGGCCTTGTTGTCCTCCTCCTTCTCACTTTGGGAACCATCATAGATCGTGGTCTCCTCCTCCGAGATCGGGATCGTCGCCTGTGGCCTCCCCTTCACTCCGATCTTGTCCTTCCAGGCCTCCACGGCTCGGCCAGCCTGATCTTCAGGAACCGTCCACTTCTCATGGAGCCATACCTTCAACTCTTCCAACACGCACCCTTCGTCCAACTCCTCATATGCTGCCTCTCCCCGGAGCACTGCCACAATCTTCTTCTGCATCTTCCTCACAATGGAGTTGTAGGTCCTCACATAAACGTCAGACCCCTCCGGACACCATCTGCCTAGAAGGTCACGACTTGACTTCTCCACACCAAGGGCGGCCAGTCCACTTGGGAGGGTTGCACGTTCACTGTGCTCTGACCAAAACCTTTCCCATCCGGAAGGGATCAAGCGGCCACTGTACCCCTCTAACAACGCCATCGTCTTTGAGCTCCCTGCCACCGCTTCGGCGTACGAAACATGCGATGTCCCGTACTTCACTCCGTAGAAGCAGCCTTCCGGGAACACAAACACTCTGTCCCTCGGCATCTGCAGCTTCACAAGGTCGAAGCCCACTGAGAGCCAGTCGTCCTGCAAGACATAGGCGTCTCTTGCGATGAAGATCGGCAGCTCTCGCACTCTCTTCCCTGCCCCGGTGGTCTTCGATTGGTGCATCATGCCAATCAACTGGCCGTCGTAGAAGCGAAGTTCAGAGGTCTTCAAATGCGCTGCGTCGTCAAACCTCATTGAGGCCCACAGCTTTATGAGCTTGAACCATGCACAGATGCGAACCTCGAAGGGGGTTGCACCATCCACCACCAAGGTCTCCATCGGCGCGATGAAGCATCCCAGCCAACGAGGCGCTCGCCGAACTGGGGGCGCCTTCTGTTCCAGCTTCCGTGTGAGCTCTTTCATCACCATCTGCGGAAAGGTCTGGGCTGGGCCATCAACTGATCCTCCTCTGGGATCCCTGCAGTCCTCTCGAACCATGCCACCGCCGTACTAACGGACAAAGAAATAGATGGTCCCATGCCCTCTTCCTCCCTTGCATACATATAGTCCACAAGGGTCACGCTGTTGGGCTTCACTCCGGGGCTTCCAAGGCTGTCTGCCCACTCCCTAAAGCGTTGCCACGAAGCCAGGTATCTTCGTACAGTAGAAATTCTGTACTTCCCCAACAATGCTTCTTTGGCCCTCGTCGGATTCAATGTCTTCTTCATCTCGTCCAGGACCGGTGCCTTGCGTCGCACCAATTCATCAACCAACTTGTCCAGGACCTTATCGGTCACTTCATCCTCGGAGGCTATTCTCCCGCTCCTCAACCTCACGGTCCTCCCCAGTGTGCCCCTTTTCGGCACTGTTGGAAAGACCACTGGTGTAACTGTAGGCTCGAGGGTCTTCATCTTCTCCTTGCCGATGACAACCTTGGCATCCAACAGGTTCTGCATAGAACTCGATGACGGCGTACCCGCAACACGCTCGTCCAAGTCCACCATCTGGACAGCTTCCTGACCTGTCCAGTCATGAAGGTAACATGCCAAGGCCTCATCTCAATCCCCAGCCGGTCCGTCAACTGACGGGCGAGGACAGGCTCGGATCCATCTCTCACCGCCAGACGAGGTCCAGTGAGACCTATCTCACTGAGGAGATTGAGGAGGGCTGCCGACTCCTCTGGATCGAGGGTGCAGGCACCCCCCTCCATTTCTCCTCACAAATAAATTCGCCTACCCTCGAGCCTACAAGTATTACGTCAAAATTCGGTCACAACAAGTCGTGAGTGATTGTCAACTCTAGGTGAGGCGTCTCAAGCCATTTCCCTGCACTGCTTGCTGGCATGCTCCCACGCAAGTCTGCCATACAATTCTTGCAACTTGTTGATAGGTAAGGATGATAAGAGGTTGTGAACCAAGCTGTGACCAGGTCACCATCATGTACCAGGAACCACTGCATAATCCTTCACCGTGATCCAGTCCTTTCACCAAGTATAGAGTGTAAATGTGGACAGGAAAAACATATATCATTCACAAAATTGGTTTAAACATGTTTAAACAAATAAATACGAATCGTAAACACCTGTAGCCTGTAGCTTGTGAACATTATTTAAACCTGTAATATCCTGCATTCGCAACCACATGAACCTCTGTGACCTCTAAGATTCTGAGAGATACGGCATGCGCCAGCCGTCAGGCCAGAGGGAGACACGGCCATAGACAGCATCGAACTCTGCGCAAAGGCCTCAGCATGATGAGTACAGGGTCATTTATGTCATCGAACATACCCTCATTGAGGGTTGGTAGGAAGGAGTATGGCTTATGATGGGCAATTCTGGAACCAGTACAATCTGTTGCTCAGCGCTGAGGATGGGCCGTTCCCGTACATTGGATTACACTCCAGCCGCATGTGGCGAATGGTCCAATGGTGCCAATTCTACTAGACTCGTGTTGCTTTGCCTGCCGCCAATACCCTTAGCTGTTGGGTAGAAACTGACAGCAATCTTCTTCCATCTTGTCCCACACTGACACAGGGCCTCAAGAGAGAAGACCACAAACCCCACCAACTGGGGAGGACATCTCCCTACTTCGGAAACTTCCAGTAGTCTTACATTGTTTTACAGTACATCCATCTTCCCACCAACCGTCGTTGGCACGGCACCTGCGATACCGATGCCCTCATCCTGAAGCTGTCGGGTACTTCGCTTCTGCACCTTCTCCAGCACTGCCTGCCTCTCGGCCTCGCAACTGTGAACTTGTTATCACTTCGCTACTATCACTGATAGACTATCACTATCAATCTAATAGCGATGGCCTCCAACCTAGATTCGATGGCCTCTAACCTAACAAGAACAAAATGTGTGAACTAATTGGCATTACCATCCCGACAACAGTAATTCCACTTTGGTCAACTCACGATGGACACCCTTTTAACGACTTTAGTGGCCTCGTATTCCAGTTCCAAACTCGACGTGAAGTGCCGCACATAGGCATCCAAGGAGGTACGCCACTCCTCAAGGGTCTTTGTTTGGTGCGGTGGACGATCAAATGCAGGTGCTTGACCAATCTACCATCCAAAACCTTCTTCCTCGGTTTGAAAAACCTCCACTCCAATGTCACCCCCGGCCGTCCAATGATAGGACACACCACGTGCAACTCATTCCTAACGCCCCCAGGCTCCTGTGTCAAGCCACCGGCCTGTTCCACGGTCCGCCATCCGTAGGGCGTCAACACAAACTTGGGCCCATCATCTCCCTGCGCCTCAGGTGCCGGCTCCGTCACACTGGGCCCAGCGCCTGAAACGCGCGTGGGGTGCGGCACCAGGGCCGCCTCCGAGATCCACTTGAAGCCTGGAGGGTGGCCAAGCAGCTTGGAAGTGAGGGCGGATGGGGATCTGGGCCACACATGGAATAGTTGATGGTTTGCAGGATCTTGCAGGTACTGCTATTTCAATTTCAACGATTGTTACTCCCCAAATCGCTTTCACATGCTTTGACCAACCTTCTGATTTGACTCAATTTGTGTCACACCATCGGCCCACACACAGCCTCCAGACAAGGGAGGAGCACCACCACTGCCATCGAAGGAGATTGAAAAGGTTGCCTCTTTGGTGTAGACATGGGGGAACAGCGGCACACCTGCCATGGGTGGCCAGCCGGCCAATTGGTCACTGGCCACTGGTGCAACAAAGTAAACAAGCACAAGTGGTGCATCGTGTGAATGCCAAATGCAGCAAAAACCTGTGGGGTATATATAACATACAACTTTGAAGTTCTAGATTTAAGGTTGCAAACCTGGCGCCACATGGCAATCAATCTATAATCTATATATTTCATCTGTGGTTAACATCATGTTTGTGGAAGTCCTACCGCAAGTGAACCATGGTCCTGATCTCCTCGTGGCCATGTCAGGAACTCTTTCGCTTCAACTTGTGCCAATTGGGTGCTCAAAAATTTGGACGGCAAATCATTCCAAAAAGAGACACTTGGCACGCTCCATGTGTTGTGAGCAATCAACCCATGCCACAACAGCATCTTCAAACTGTTGTGGCGTTTGTGCGTCCCTCCGTCCTGATCAGCCAACCCTCCAATATAAAGGCCACACCTGAGAGCTCCTTGCCGAAGGTGAAGCAATCACCTTCCAAGTAAGCACACACCGCCAGATTCATACAATCTCTCCTAGCCGCCTCGTTATCAATTTTCAGAGACAATTGTTTAAAGCTATAGGCTATAGGGTTACGAATGATGCTCAGTGATAGGATTCGGATGGGGTGCTTCATACAGCTACCAGCCTAATTACATACCACCCTCACAAATAACAACTGTGGTTGTCTATGCATCCAGTGCTTCATTGACAATGCACACTAGTTGCTCCTCGGACATGCATGTGTTGCGACCAATGTTGCAGCAGTAGTCAAGAACAATATGCTGAAAGGTGGGTGATCACTTGTGATCTGACCTACAAGAAACCAACAAAACTGCCCGCCAATGTGACTGTGACCGTGACTGCGACGGCAGCAGCCTGGAATCTCACGTCCATTCTTGAAATACAAAATTGCTCTTCTTTCCTGGCTGATGCTGAAGTTGAACCAAATTTTCAGAACTTATAAAGTTTGTGTGTTCACAGTCCATATCAAATGAAGGACGCAAGACGCAAGGCCTTCAAACAACACTGGACTTTGCAACACTGCTTAACAACCTGAACCCCCAAAGGTCAATGTAAATGTATAATGCCGTGTAATGCCGCGCAATCAATGTTTGATGGATTAGCTGATTAGCTTGTCATATGAATGACAGCGTACATCCAAAATTATACAAAAATCTGTGGGTTACTGTCCGAGACGTCCCCCTAAAAAAGAAAAACAAAACGATCTTAAGAGCACATACCAAGGTTCTAGGTCCACGCAACAGGTAATGGCATCATCTTTGCCAAAGGTCTGCCCGAACTTTTCAAAGTTTCCCGCATGGCTCTTGGTAGCAGTTCCACCGAAGCCCCAACTGTAGCGATCCTTTGTGCCGTTGGGGCAAGTCGCAAAAGAATGCAAAAGAGATGTCTCAGGGCCTTCGGCAAGTGTTATTAGGCTTGTTAAAACACGTGGGGAGCTGCTGGGCTTGTAACATGGAAGACATTGTGAGGTTGGCATAGCTTGGCCAGCTCATGAACCGGTTGGTGAAGGAATATTGAGGATTGACAAGCTGGGCTGCCTTACGGAAGAAACGTGCTGCAACTGATGTAACTATTTCTGTCCAAGCGTGCAGAGGCCAGTGCAACCAGGAAAGCCCCAATGAGACTTGTTTGAGGGAAGCCAGGTTGTTTCAAAAGAGCACCTTCAGTACAACTCCAGTGGTGCCAGCTCCAGTCTCAATGCACGGAGTAAAGATGAGTAAAGGGTTGACACCATTAAAGCAAAGGCTCTGTGCCCAAGGCCAGCTTGGAATTCTCCATGGACCAGCCAATTCGCAAGTTCCCACCAGTCTCATTCCACACGCAGAAGGCCCACAATCCCTCGGCTGCAACACCACAATCTGCACGCACGCCAGCCCACTGCGTTCCACTATCTGCCTTTCTCTTGGCTCGCTCACGGGTACCGCTACCAGTACCGCCCATCAAGGTGAGTCCAGCCTCACAGTCATTCACATTCAACTTGATGGTTTCACCTGGCTGCAGTGCTTCTCCTGCCCCACGAGGTGCAGGTGGGGGTCCTGAGTCACCACCCTTACCACCCTTGCCTCCACCCTTGCCACCATCTCGGTTTCCTTTGCCACCGTCGCGGTTGCCCTTGCCACCTTCGCGGTTATCGCCTTTGCGGCCACCTTTGTCATCCCTCCAGTTGCCGCCATCGCGCCAGTTGTCATTGCTCCATCCACCCCCTCCGCCGCCTTTCCAGCCACCTCCGCCATTCCAGCCACCTCCGCTCCATCCGGACATTGGCCAAGCCTAATTTAAGGGTGGCCCCTCAATAATCAAAACACAAAACTGAACCAAAAAACATAAACTTGAGCCGAGTGTGCAAAGTGAAAACACTTATATACTGTACTGTCAAAACCTCCGTCAGGATTGGCGAGTGGTCCGACAAACTATCCAACTATATAAATACTTGGGCTTGCAAAAAGACTCGTCACGGATGGTTGGAATTCCGTCGGCCGTTCGGGGCCGTTTGTCCTATCAAAAAATTAGACTCAATTCCGCTAGGTGTTCATCATATTCAGTCATACAAAAGAATGAAGAATTAAATTCCCGTGCACTTCTGACTCTGGCTTTATTCGTAGCTTTTGGCACGGCTTGTGCAACGATGCAGCCGCGCCGCCTTGTGTGGGTTCTGGTGGTTGTGGGTCTGTCAGGGCCCGTGAGCACGATTCAAACAGTTTGGGGGAATGTTTTTGGCCATACTAGTAACAAGAAGCTAATAGTAACGAAGGGCACCGCTACTAGTAACAAAGGGCATTACATTCATTACATACCACTAGTAGTAGCATTCTTGCTACTAGGAGCAAGAAGCCATAGTAGGGTGGGAAGTGCCCATTCTCATTTCTCATTGCATAGCTGACGGGGGTCCAGCCGGTCCAGCCCTCAGATCACATCCTGGCAGACTTTTTGACTCACGAAGCGCTGCCACTGCCACGAGCTTCTGTGCTCGCCTGGAGATCCAGCGAGGAAAAAGCAAAGTCCACAAAGCGCGTGCGACCAGGATGTTGGTTTTATCCAGGTGTGTATCAAGCTCCGCTCGGACCTTCTCCGTCTACAAATCTGCGACATCATATGAGGAGATACTCCCATAGCCTAGCCAAAAATGCGTAAAACTAGAACCTGTCATCCTGATAAGTTAACACCAGATCCAAGTGCTACCTGCTACCTAGTGCCACAATCTGTCTATTTCATGAGGTTCTCTGGCCTATGTGCGTCGGTCACTGTCCTTGGCTGCTAGCTAGTTCTTCGCAGTTCCTTCATGCTCTTCCTGCCCCAACTCTCCGCCATGATGTCTCTCCACCCTTGGCCACCAGGCTTGAGCAGAGGAATGTGCAAGCTCCTGACCGGTGCAAAGAAATAGGGCGCAGCAAGTCTTAAGGTTTTTCTTCCCACCGAGCCCCGTGATATAGCATGATTATCCCCATTGAGTTACAGTAAGTAAGTGGGTAAGTCGGGGATAGCGATTTTATAGTGCTAAAATGCTGGGACCACCCCCGCTCAAAAAATCGAACTTGTTGATTCTATAAAAGTGAGAAGGATATAGGAAAAGAGTCCAGAAACAAGGAGTCAGCTCTACAGAATTGAGGGCCATGAGTCTGTAAAAAACTGTGAACATTGAGGATCTTGCTCTATAAAGTGACGGTCCTGAGGTACCGCGGAACAGGTGTTTTTCAATAGGATTCAGAAAATAGGTCTCTATAGAATTAAGGTGGGTACTGGAACCAAACATAAACATGCACCTGTCCAGGAAGGCATTGATTCACCTGTTGGAAGGACCTCAAACTTGTAGTGAAAACAAGGGTCGCATTCTCGGAACCAGGCGAGTTTTGAACTCGAAATTAAAGAACATAAGCTTCTATAATCTTCTATAAATAACAGTTCCCTGACATGCAAAAAAATGAAACAATTCTCCATGGAATCAACATGCTTGAGGTACCAAAATCCACTGCACCATTACTACAACACCTCCAAAGAATCGAGCTTGTAGCTACTCTCTATAAAACCGAGAAAGTTCAAGGCTTGTACTTACAAGCCTCCATGTTAACCAACAAAATCCGTCCTGTTTTAACACCTCACTTTTTAGCTTTTTAGGGGTCCCAACCCCCGCGATTGTGTAGAGGAAATCCCAATCCCCATGCATGATTATAGCATGATTCAATGATCTGCCATTGGAGTGAAAATGAGGTAAAATAAAACCAACGTTCGTCTCACCAACTTCAGAATCCAGAAAGGCACGAGTTAGCTCTGAGGTTGATTTGTACAGACTATATATATATAGATTATTATACATATATATATATACAGTATATATATATATATATTTGTTTATAAGGTCCACAATGGTCCACATAGGTCTGTGACATTCTGCAAATTTATGTAACAAGTATTGTCGCCAACCATTTGAAAACCACCTCAATACAGGCAGGTTTCTCTGTGTCATCGCAAGGATTGATGATGTCCAAACAACATCAAATATACAGCATCGAAATAGCAACCTTGTCACAACACTGATTGCCATATTGCTTTGAGGGGCCTCCTTCTGAAACCGCATCAGACATGGGTGCCCCATCATACGCCAGGCTCAGCAAATATGTGACTTCGTCTGCATGTCTTATGTTTCACCCCGGCCTCGTGGCCATCGGTGCTGGGCGCCTCAAACTGCGCCTGGAAGGGCAACACACCAGCGCAGTTTCACCAAGACCTCCAGGCCCGATATCCCCATGCTCTAGCCCCGACATCCCCATGTTCTAGTTGCGCAGTTCTCATTTGCATCCACATCATCCACATCTTGATGCAGGTATTCTTCCTCGATGCTACAAGTAGGATGAGTCATTTCCATGAGTTCGGACACTCACTCCATGATAAAGCCTGGCATGACTTCCAAGCATGGAAATGTCGCCTGCCTATGGTCTTGGAATTGGGTATGGCCGACCGGGACAGGGCCTTGTGTCTCTCCACGATGCCGGAGGGAATGCAAACCCACCTAAGCTCCAGAGAGCCATGGCTCTGTTCTTCACGAGTTCTTCCTGTCTTGTCTTTGGACGAAACCAGGTTTGACGAATAGGTCTTCCTCTCAAACAAGTAACCTTAGAATTCTTGATTGAAGCGTGTTCAATCTCTCTACAACTCAATTCACCGGTCGGCTTACATCGTGTTCCGTTTCTTCAGCCACGCTTCCAGACTGCTGCAAAAAGATCCAATGCCAGAATCTCAGGCCCAAGCCGGTCATCTGTACCTTGGAATGGAACGACAAAGCCTTGGCGCGGCAGGCAGGGGCACCGGAAGTCTTTGGACAGGTGATCTGTGGCTTTCACCACTGTCCCATATGGGTCCTTTGGCTCAAAATGGCTCAAGCCAGCAAATGCTTGACGTTGTTGCTTCACTCCACTTGAAGTCTATGACTCGATTTGTAGGAGCCAATGACAACCGAACTAAGAGGCTCCAAAATCTGGCACTACACTTGAAATTGAACCAATGGAATTATCAACAGGTGTTCGTGTTCATAGCACGCAGGGCAGCAACATATAGCAACATTCGGCCCAGCGTTAAGCCCCTTTTAAAGCACCTGAAAAGGTGCTTGGTGAGCTGCACTTACTCCACCCGTGCTGCCAAATCTTGCAACAGCATGTTGCCTCAATGCTACTGGCTATCGCGATGGGCACACATGCAATCAATCACAAAACCTCTACCAACTCTGCCCTCAACTTTTAGGATCTTATGATGCATCCTGGAATAGGGACGCGGGGAGCCGTCTTGAACCACCCCGTGACCGCTCGTGCTGCCGGGCCAGAGCTGTGACAGTCTGGCGATGTATTGGATGTATTGGCAGACACCTGCAGGTTGCACGGTTGAGTTCACCGGTCAAAGTGAGTCAAGTGCACGCCTGGGGGCAATTCGTGAAAGACAGAATGCCAACAGCTATTCACCAGCTGTTGATTGATCTGCAGTAATTTGAATTCAGCGTGCTTTGCTCGTGAAACCTCATGCGGCTTCCTCATCCAAGCTATGGCTCAACATGGGAACTTGGTGGGGCCACCAAATCCTTTCCCACACAAACAGCTTGAAACAATAAGCGACTTGGCGGGCGCTCCATCATTGAGACCAGGCCAAGCAGGCCCAAACCGGACCCATCCATCGGGCAACATGGTCACCATCGACAGCCTCACCTGTGAAGCCGTGGTGGGGTCAGAGAGGATGTTGTGTGGCAGGAAGCGCTCCTCACAACCGTCCGAAGTCGCTCGGCCAGATCTGCAAGCCCCCCAAATGGCCAAATGAGAAGGACTTACGACTGACACGGCGTGTGCGTATATAAGTAAATATAATATATATATATATATATATCTGCGTTTGTATCACAAAGAATGCCCATAATCTTGTTTGGTCTCCCTCTCCTGCTGCGACGTCTCCGAAAACGACCTGAGCTGCCAACATCACAATGCGCGTATTGCAGTGAACTCAACCAACTGTTCTTTCTGGGCGTCCGCAAAACATCTGACCTTTTGAGAAAGTTATTCCTTGGAATTCTCAGGGCCTGACCCTGGAGGCGTCTGAGCAGGCCCAATCCTTGGCAGGTTGGAGGAAGGCAGGCTCAAAAGTCCAAAGCCTCGGCACCCTTTGGTTTTCAAAGAGTCGTTGAGGGGTTCTCCTGAATCTGTACTAGTATCGAAAAAGCACTTGATGTGTGTCTTGTTCTTTGTGATGATTCTGCCATTGGGCCCCCGAGGTGAAAGGAAACACAGGAATCTATTGCAACAAGTTAAGTTACAGTCTCTCTCACGGGACCAGGAGCTGCTTCTCAGGCTGGGATCAGTTCTACAGTTCTACACCCACGACACGAATCCACCAAAATCATCCAAGGCGAACCAACTGAGAAATAATGGTCTGTCAAACAACCCCCCTACCAAACAGGCGCAAACAAAACTGTATAATTGTTAATTGTTGTATGCTTTTTTATGCTTGCCTGCTGTCCTCCCAGGAGAATAACGAAGGGCCCGTCACGAACCACCTTACCCACCTTGAGCCAACTTCCCTGAAGGCTCTTCACTACTGGGGTTCCGACTGAACCGCCACTAGTTGACTGCCCGGAGGCCTCAGCAGGAGCAGGGTGGCCGACCCCAGCAAATCTGAAGAATTCAACTACAGACCGGCGGTGTCCAGCCGCCAACGGATTGTAAAGCACACCATCGAACACTCAGGGTGCCTCATCCATATGCAAGCTTGCTATCAGCATCCTTCGGCTATGCGGAACAACAACCTTGACGGCATGGCGAGATTAGTTTTGATACCTCAACGGCGTTCAACGGGCCTGGCTGAAGGACACGTATCAGTGCATGGCCATCTATCTCCAAGCCTGTGAGCTCTCCTCACTCAGTACTCCCACTCGCTGGGCTTCAGAACCATGGCTGACCAGTTGGGCTCATCACCTGCAGATGGTCGTCTCCATGTTGGGGAATGAACCCGAAGGCAGTTGGAGCCGCACCTTTTAACTATCAGTATGCACGATCATGCAGTCTACTCTAGACGGCTGGCTAATTACATAATATATATATAATATATATTATAATATATTATATTATGTAGACAGAAAAAAGCTGAATGGACATGAAGTCAAGTGCATTGTATATTTTTACAGGAGGGTGGATTGGGATTGAGGTCTCTGTTTCGGAGTTGTGCGGGAAGACTCTGTGCTATATATACAGCACAAATCAGTGTGGGGCTAATTGAGACACTTCAAATCTTGGCGCGCAGCACCCTTACCATCTCCACGGGTAAGGATAAGGGCTGAATTTGTTGATTGCAGAATTTCTTAGATTCCTAACCATGTTTCCACTACAAAGGTTTGCCAATAGTACCTAGTCAATTACCTGGTCATATGACCTCAGGAATCTCCGTCCACCTGTTTGATTGACAATCCGTGTCAGTTGCAAGATCCACTACCCTGCAAAATGATGTGATCTAGACTCCAGGATGCTGCCCCTGCAAGTTGCCTGAGATCTCACAATCCGACCTGTTTGTTTGATTGCTGGGACTCCAGGGCCCTACCCGTATATTTATCATTGACAAGGATTCCTTCCTCCAGGGACGTCCAGTCTAAGCGTCCGCACGTTGCTGGGCAAGGGTACCCAAAAGCCACGCCTCAAAGGAGCCGGGAGAATGCCGACTCTTCTAATAGCGATGCACTTGTTTCTAATAGCTTCTTGTTACTACTAGTAAGGCACTTGTTACTACTAGCGTGGCACCTGTTACTACTAGCGTGGCCCTTTGCTGTTGATAAAAAAAACCATGTGATGGACTCGGAGATCTTGAATATCCGCGCGAATCTGCTGCCTGGCTTAAGGAACAGGATCCTAAATGAACCCCACAACAACAACTTCGAAAATCTGAAAAAAAAACTGATTGATCAATCAAGCCTTTCATCTTGGGATGAAGCATTCTCCGCTTAGTACCCCAAGACCTTCGCCATCGCCGGCAACCGCTAGGACGCCCCACGGGATAGGCGTGACGGAGCCTTCTCTCACTGAGTGGGGCGACACCTCGTCGAGCCGGCCGCCGGACTCAAATGAGCGAGTCACCGCTCCCAAAGACGAAGAACAAAACCCTTTTCACATTGCTATTAATTCGATTTTAGTCTCAATTCCTAATTAAAAGGCAATGGCCTCCAACCTAATAGCGATGGCCTCAAACCTAATAGCAATGGC